CGGTCAACTGGCTCCTGGCGAGCGACCGGTTCCTGGCGGTTGACTGACTCTTGACGGCTAACTGGCTCCTGATGCTTAACTGGCTCTTGAGGGTTAACTCGCTCCTGAGGTCGTTCACGTTGCTCTTCAGGAGACATAGATCTTAGGGCCCCCGACATCTCGGCCTTCGGGGGCTTAGAGAGCTCCGTCTCCGTCCAGTTCTCGGTTGAATCATCATAGGTCAATTCATCGTCATAACGAGAATCATCATAATGGGAGTCGTCATAGTGAGAGTCGTCGTAGCGAGAATCATCATATCGCGAGTCGTCGTATCGCGAGTCATCATAGCGAGAGTCATCATGTCGAGGGTCGTCATATCTGGAATCCGTAAACTCAGATTCAGCGTCATACTGTCGCTCCTCTTGGCTCTGGTAGGTCTTTGGCTTGGGAAGATGGTTACCTGACTCGCCCTGGAAGGCCTCCTTCAACATCCCCAGGAGATAGGCCTTTGGTCCGGTCTTGACAGGCGAGGCTGTGTTTCTCGTTGCTCGAGTTCTCTTCAGGCCCGGGCCGCCCGGTGTCTTGGTCGGTGGCTTTGTGGCTTGTCGCTTCGGTTTGGGTTTCGGCTGCGACCGAGACTCTGGTGATGTTTCCTTGACCGTCTCCTGCTCTGGATCAGATTCAGGTTCTGGTTCTATGTGCGGCTCAGGCTCTGGCACAGGTTCCACCTTTGGCGCTGGAGCTTTTGGTGCCGGAGCCTTTGGTGCTGGTGCTGGCTTAGGTTCCGAGCGAGGCTCCTCCTTGACTGGAACTGGTACTGGTACTGGCTCTGGTGCGGGTGCCAGATGTTCTTTCGACGCAGCCTTTTCAGCCAAGTCTGGCTTGCTCATCTTTGAAACCGATTCCCTCCGTTTCTCAACACGAGAGGACCTTCGGCGGCTCTTGACTGTCTCTGGAGAAGAAAGCATGTCCGAAGCTTCTTCTAGAGGGGTTGTTGCCGGCTCAGTCTTTTGCTCCTCGACAAAGGGGTCAACAGTGTTGTTGAGCCACTTTTCGATGCTAGGGGGATTGTTTGGTGCGGCTTGTCTCGGGGGCTCGTTCATCTCATGAATGATCTTCTTGCCCTCTTCCATAACCTTCTTGAACACCTTTGGCATTGACTTGAAACTGGTGTTTCGCTCGACCTTGGGGCGCGCCGGGCGCTTGGGTCGACTACGAAGAGGTCCACCGCGTGCTCGCAGGGGGAGATCGAGCTCAGTAAATGCAGAGTTTCCCCAGGGAATATCCCCAGGGATATCAGCGATGGACTTGGCCAGAATGCTGGAAGACACATCGGATCCATCTAGCTGAGAGGGCTCCAAAGTCGAGTCGTCCTCAGGAACCCATGTTTCTTTATCCTTGTGAGTCGTCGTACCTGGATGGTAACTCTTGGGCCGAGGCTTCTTCCCTGATACGCTCCGGCGCTTTGTGGGCGTGTCTACCATCGAATCATCCAGCACGCTGGGCCGTTGCTCGGACTTGCCTCCCGTTCTTGTCGTCTTTGACAATTCGGATTCGCTATCAATAACTCTGCTCGACAGTTCGGATGACGCCCCTGTCAAATCCGTCCTGGATAGGTCTGAATGCTGCTTCCTCCTCTCAGACTGCATACTAGGCCGTCGAGAGGTTGGAGCAGACTTTAACCGCAACCTGGCAGTTCGTATTGATCCAGGTCTTGAGGTTCCAGGTCTTGAGGTTCCAGCATTGGATGATACCTCGCTCATGGGTCTCACCCGAATTCCATCGTCGTCCGGGTTGATCGGGGCCACTCGAATGCCGTCGTCGTCCAACTTCTTCATCGGCGTCACTCGAATGCCATCGTCGTCCAACTTCTTCTTCATCGGCGTTACTCGGATACCATCATCCCCCGCTGCTGACTTGGCGGTTCGTTGAGGTCTTACTCGGATACCGTCGTCTGTCCCCGACACTGACTTGGCGGTTCGCTGTGCCGTCACTCGGCTGCTGTTGACGTTGCTCGGTGTCATTTCGCTAATTGTCTCTCCCATGTCGCTCATGAATTCGCTATCAGTATCCCAACAAGGCCTGGATCCCACTGACTTGGAGAACCTGTGGCTTCCTGAGGGCGGTGTCTCAGGGATCTCGACCTTGCTTGCCCACGCCTTGACCTTGTTAGAGACAGACGGGTTGGCGCAATTGCGTGCGACAAAGTCTTTGGGTAGCGGAGCAGGAGTCGAGAGCTTTTCGGCGGGGGCCTTTTTGGGGAGACTCTTTCGGTTCTTGCGCCAATGCTCGTCGCTAACGACTCGCTTCTTCGGGGGCGGTTTTGCTGGCGTGGGTTCCGTTGTCTTCTCATCCTCCGTAACGAGACTCTCCTTGGTCTTGTTGTTAGGTTTCTTGACCTTCTTCCTCATCTTGATGCGGACTCGGTCTTCCTCCGTCACACTCCTAAAGTCGTCCTCCTTGAAGGCAACGTCGGTAGGTTCGGTCGCCGCATCGTCCGGGTCTCCATCCACCATGGCGGCAGCATTGGCCTTCTGCCACTTCTTTACACGATCCCTTACCCCGCCGGGAGGCTGAAGCCGCTTGACCTGTGACTGTTTCATCTCGTGACGCAGCTCGGCCTTGACAGCCTCGAGACTCATTCGCCTCTGGCGGTCAGCGGCTATCCGGGCGGGCGACGGTCGACCCAGGAGGAAATCGTGGAGGAGGGTCGGCTCTTGCTTGAAAGACTTGGCTCGCGGTCGAGTGCGGCCCATAGCCGGAGCCGGCGCCGACTTGGGGGTCGCCTTGGTCTTGTCATCTTTGGAGGCGGTGGCAGATGGTGTAGGAGTCTCGGGGTCTAGTACGGCTTCCTCTGGAGAGGTAAGGTTTGTTGATGACATGGTATCAGCTACCTAGGAAGAGAGGGGAGTGAGTTCATGACACGGCAATGGCGGGGAAGCAACGTGGTTCGCTTAGGGGATGTGTGACTCGAACGTACCTTGAGCTTGGTAACATGCTGAGCGGTTGTTCAGGAGAGGATCCAGTAATCAGGTTGTGTTGTGTGTGTATGCGATGCGAGCCGTCTCTATATCATCAAGCGGTTCTTGAATATATCCAGCGGTGTATCGATCGGAAAGTCCGGCAAAGTTTCCAATAAGCTTTGGGTGACGAAGCGGCATAGACGGAGCAGCCGTTGAACTGCACATGCGTGTATGGTGTAATGTATTGTAATGAACGGATAGACGTGACGCAATGAATAAGAAAGCGCAATACGGAATCGAAAGACACGATACGGAATGGGTACCGCCAAAGGGAGACACGAGTTTGTTGTGCCATCCACGTCGAAGAGATTGGGCGTCCCTGGAGCAGGACCTGGAGGTTGCGTTGCGTAGGTAGGTCGTCCTGTCGTCTTTGACTTGCTTGCTTGCTTGCTTGTGCCGCGGGTTGTCCCCAGTAACCAAATGGGACCCACCTTTGGTAAACAAGACGGGAGACCCCGCCCTATCAGGGACGTCGATTCGAGGGTCAGCTGTGGCGCCGCGATGGAATACAGGGGGCCTCAGTGGAGTAGGTTCAGTGGGCTCTAGCGGGTGGCTTCACCGTCTGGGAGACCAACCCGATCTCCGGTCCATGCCCAGATGCCCCTACTGTAGGTTATCTCGGCCATTTTTGTCCAACGCCATGAGATGGATCGGCGAGATGGGAATGCTTTCTTTTTTCTTTGTGCCATCTTGTTCATTTTTTATTCATCATCTGAATCTTTCCTTCTTTTCCGTATTCTATCCTCCTCTTCTCTCCTCCTCCTCTCCAACAACCTGCCAGACGTCCCGCAACCACACATGGCAGCGAATCAAGCATCAACAACAATAACACAACATCCTGTATCGACATGGGTGACCCTCCCACACTTGAACCAAACAGCCGCTAATTGCCATGCTTCGGCCTTGTTTTTTTCCCTCGTTGCTGACGACAACCGCCTAAAGCAAGGAGCAGACTACCCATCCAATCTCTGCCCGAGAGATTGCAGCCATGCCCTCTTTCTCAGAATCCATGGGTGGCTGAAAAAAAAATGCGGTGCCATGCGCTGCGCTTCTGTGTTGGCAAAAAAAAAATACGCACGTTGGGCATCCATCGACTATGCGCGTTACATGCATGCGGCTTCTTTTAACCCGTGGTTCGTCGTCTCTTGTCCAGTCACGATTCGCAGCATGGATCTCGCTTCTTAACTTTCATGTATGATGGGATATACCGCCTCTTTGATCGACCCGCCCACAGAGTCTCAGATCTCGTAGGAACTGGAATGGTGGCGCTGCTATTCTCGTCTTCCCGTCTACCGGGATCGAACGAGATTTTTTGACATTTCAGCTCCCTTGGACATTTAATGTTTCGGGAACCGTTTAAGCTTGTGCTTCCAGGCCATGCCGTGCCCGTTGTCCCGGGCTTGGACCCTGGAACGTTGCCGTCTCGATGAGGGGATTCCCGGTCATGTTTGCTCACCCTACAGCCAATTGGCCAACGTGAGCGGCTCTCGTTTTCGTGCACATGCCGGGGTCAACATGCATCCCGGTCTAGAGGCATTTCTGACAGGTTACAGCTGTCTCCTCGTAATTGTGTAACCAAAGCTGTAAGTACAACCTAGACGGTGAAACAGGGCGTCACTGAAGAATGCTCTACGAGTGCGGCTACACAATGCACAATGCACAACGTCAATACGAGTTGAGTTATAAGTAAGTGTATTGCCCAAAACCAAGGTATCCCCCAAATCCAAATAGGTATCAGAAAACGGATTGCTCCGAGAGAGATGTAATAATAATGCTCCCATGCTGTGTATCCCGCTTCAAAAGTCCTCCCAAAAGCACAACCTGATAGTCTCCTCGATGAATCAGCCAAGATTGATCAATCCGAGGGAATGCAGTCCCGCCTCGTAACTCCGACCATGCAGATGAAGACGCAAGGGAAAAGAGAAAAGGAAATAAAAGGAGGAAAAAAAAAGATATGCAACACCGAAACACCGTGTTATGCAAGACCATATCCGACCATCACTGACCCTCCCTCGCGGGCAACATGAACCGGACCTTCTTCTTGGGCTTCATAGCCCTCTTACCATCACCATAAACCTCATCATCGCCGACATCACTCGGCGTAGCGACGCTGCTCCCCATGTCACTCATCATCTCCTCCTCAGTCTCCTCCTCGATCGACCACACATCTGGGCTTGGCTCCCTCCACAGTTGACCACCCGCCGCCGCTCGGCGCCGCGCAGTGAGGTTCCGGGACGATGCTCCGTGCCGCCCGCGACCTCGGACCCTCCCGCGAAGCTGCGAGTTGGAGAAGGAGGCCGGCGAAAGGTGAGTCGTGTTGGAAGACTGGTTGAAGGCGGGGCTCTTGGGACGCACGGGGGGATGACTGTTGGCAAAGATGTCTTGTAGAGAAAGGAGGCCATGCTTGCTGGGCGAGAAGCTGATGTATTCCTCATCGTCATCGTCTTCGTCCTCGTTGTTGGATGTTGAGATATCAGAGCTTGTGTCCGGAGAGATGGGGCGGAGACCTGGCTTGCGGAGGCCATCGAGGGTGGATGGGCTCACACTGCGGACGATGGGACGAGGTTGGCTGGCGTCTTCGATGCCTGCGTCAAAGTCCATCATGACTTGATCCAGGTCATCGTCATCCATGTTTGGTGCCGGTGTGAGAAAGTATGTGAGGGGATCATCGTCGATATCATCCAGAGACGGAAGCGGGTCATCCTTTGTTGAAACAGTTGGCTTGAGGCGCACCTGAGTAGGTGGCCATGAGTCTCGACGAGACCGCATCTCAGACTCGGTTGGCATGAAGGACATGCAAATAGTGGGTTGGATATGAATATGTTGTTTGTTGAGGCCCGCAAGTGATGGCGTGCGAGGGCTCTTTATAAGTGGGCGGCACGAGAAGGGCTCACCACAGCTGATCGATGTATGACTGAAAAGACAGGTTCGCGAACCAGGCAAATCGACCCTACCGGCTAGGCCGGCGCAACGAAAAAGGACTGTCGAGGCTGAAGAAAGTGGAAGCCTGATATTGTTCCATGGGATGACCAAGAGAGTCACACACCGAAGGCTGCTGCACTTTGGAAAGTCCTTGACTGAGAATACTTGACAAGAAGGATGGGTAAAACGCTAGACAAAACTGATGATTTCTAGGCTAAACACGAGAGGAGAGGCGATACGGCCTCACCTATATATGTTGCCCATCGACCACGAGCTCACTTTTTACTCACACTCACACACACCTTTTGGCAGCCTGCGAGACACAGGCAGACGAGACAATCAGCCGTGCCCGCCCACCCCAAAACGAGGCCGCGCAGACCAAGAAAAAGGAGGGGTGGAGGGGAGGGGGATAAGAAACAGGGCTGGCAATCAGTCACAGCTGTATCCATCCAGTCACATCCTGGAATTCCTGTAAGCCCCCGAGAGGCCTTGTGAAGAAGACGAATGGTGGTCATGGACAGGGCTGCCCTCGCACGTGAAGCCCTCAGCCCGTCGGGCCTATGAGGCATCGACGACGACGCCACGCGTCCGCGACGGCGGTACGCTAGACGGACTCGGCGGTGCTGGAAATGGAAAGTCATGGGTTCTTTGAGCTAGCGGGTTCGTGAGGAGCTGAAGGAGTTGGTGGCTGACGATATCAGCTTTCGTTCTACTTGGTCTGGGGGATGGGGGAATGATAGGCAGTTGTGGGATGAACGGGTTCACGCAGGGTCCTCGGAGCTAACGCGGCAGCCGCCCAGTGAAAGGGCGTAGGATGAGTAGTGATCGACATGCAACGATACGGTCCCAATGTGCATTCACATTCGCCCACCATGAGCAATAATCGTGTTTACGGGCGTCGCGGTGGCTGGGGGTTACTCTTTTCAATAAAAGAGTGAGACACGGACGACACCAACTCCAACTCCCAAGGTGACCATCTGACTGTGTTTCCCCCTCTTCATAGTCCGGCCAAGCCGGGTCCTCTGAGGGGTAGTCATGCTGGACCCCTTGGGAGCTGGCCATGATTCGGATTTGCGATCGAGGATTCGAGGCGAGATCGATCGCCGTGAGGCCCCCAGAGGTCTCCTGCATGGTGCCTTGCAGCACGTCTGGTCCTTGTAGCGTGAATCCGTTTAGGCCCACGTTTGGGCATATGTCAAGCACGCGAGGGCATCCCCAGATGTGCTCGGCCTTGGAAGTAGGTACAGTAGTCTGAGGGGGGTGGTCGCAAGTCTAAGCCACGAGGTCGTTTCTTTTCTTGAAACCCGGGACAAAGTGATCAGTCGAAAGGTTCGGAGCCTCCATCGTCATCATCAGAGGAAATTGACCGGGGTACGGCTTATCCGTCTTGGTATTGTCCCGGTAAACCCTTTGACCCTTGTTCGGGATCATCAAATATTACGTGTGTAAGGCCGTTGCTTCCCAACGAGGAAAGGGTGTCATCCAAAAGACCAAAAGCAGAAGATGAGTGGTGTGTGTATGCTGTGAATACCATCTCGTAAAGGCCTCCTCTGATTTCTAATTTATTCCACCCTCCATCTTGACCATGGTGGCCTCTGGCCCATCCCCCGTGCTACCTGACCTGAGGGAAAAAAAGGGCCCAGCCAGCCTCCCCCAGATTCCAAGAAGTCAATCCTGCTTTTTCTTTCAACCTGAGTCCGTGGTTTGTCTCGTGGCTGATCCCATGACCATCTTTCCTGGTTTCGGAGGGGACCACCCACACCTTAGGTACTGTACGCAAGCCACGACCCTCGGTCTCGACTGGAAATAGAGCGTTCCGGTCGTTTCTCGTCCGGCAGGAGGATGGCCGAGACGCATTTCCCCTCACCAAGAAGAATCGTCATTCTCGCGTCAAGCGGGAAATGTCTGATTGATAACACGCCCTCAGACTTGAGCCGATGTGGTTAGGGAATGTCACCTTTCTGACCTTGAGCTGCTTGAGAGCGACTATGTGCCCCGTGCCGAGGCGTCGATAGCCGCAACGCAATCTGGTCGATAGACGAGACCTAGAAACAGAAAACGCCCGTCAGAGCGGAACGGCCCCTCCGCTCGCGGGCCGCAATTGTGGGCTCGGTCCCGGACGCTCACCGGAAGACCCACATTTGGCAGTCCGACAGGTCACAGTGGGAGGTTGGGCTGCCACTCACACTATATAAACTGAGGGTAAATAGATTAGAGAATCAAGATAATGTATGAATGGAATGCTATAAACTCTTTCATATAGTCGTACGATTCTAGAGCATTTTGCCTTGTATTGGGTATGATCTATCACTAGACTCCTTTTGTGTGAAGCGACTTGGTGCTGTTCACTCATTGTAAGCAAGTACATGGTTGTTTCACTTGTTTATTAATACGGTTTATACTGTCCGGGAGTCAAGCCATGCTGTTCAAGAAACTTGAGGGATCCCACGAGACGACAGACGGCATGGCAAACAACCCATCCATGGTATCAGTGCAGTCGAATGGCTGCAAGCCGAGGTCATCGAAGAGCGGCATCTGTCCCCCATTGAGATCAGCTAGAGTCGATAGTGTGTCCACCACCACACCTGAATTCCTCAGCTCCAGGTTCGAGCTCTGTGAGTCGCCGACGCTGGCGAGTCTGTGCGTCCGGCGGAACCATAGCCTGTCTAATAGTCTCGCGTATCTCGCTGCGATGTGGTTTTCATCGACAGCGGCTGTTTTGAGCACCGAGATGAAGCGTTCCATGAGTGACGCTGTGTGGACATGTTTGCCCGAGGATATAGCCCCGCATGCATGGGCCTTGTAAAGGAAGACGGAAGAGTGAATCTCATATCTTGGCAGGGTTAGCTGGGATGTCTTGCATGTGTCCAAAGGCGTCTCACAGATAAAAGCGTGCTGGCATGTATCGCAGATGCTTCACAGGATCGATATCGTCCGTCACGATCCGAATCAAAGCCTCTGCCGCGTCAGCAGCTTCGTATATATGTCGGGCATCAGGGCTTGCCATGGCCGAGTCGGGAAAGATGATTGATGGCCTAGATCCATTTGATGGATCGGAATTGGTGTCGGTAACTGACGCACGGTATATGACGGCCTGGAAAGCGAATGCGTTGACATAGAGCCTGAGGTATTCTTGCATGAGGCTTAGACAGCTCTTGAGGTGTGGCGACACGGCGAGCGATGTCCACGCGAGTTGCCACGCGTGCATGGCTTTTGTCGTATCATCGACGTATTTTGTGTAGTCGCCTCGCGTCATGAGTTCGGCAGTTCGTGACCTTGAAGCAAAGAGAATATCGTGGGCGTTTCCAAATAGTGTTGTTAGCTCAACCTGGGCCTGGATGAAAGAGGCAAAATCCTCGTCACGGGCCCGCCGGGGTTGTAGAGCTGGAAAGTCATGGGCCATGAAGCGCGCTGATAGAGCTGGGCCTCTACACCAGAAGGCTTGTCCCATGCGAATGGATATTTGACGATCTGAGAGATAGGTGACTGGAAATGTGAGTTTGGCGCCAATGTTCGCGGAAGCAGAGATACTTACAAGTCCAGGCCAAACGCTCTCGATGGATCGAATCGAGGTCGGCGTCGTTCCCTTTGAATCCTCTATCTTCTAAGCGCAGTAGGTACGCAAGTCTCACAGCGAGGCCAACTATCGACCATGCTGACGCTTCATCTCCATCGTCGACTTCGCTCTGATTATGCAAGGTCCATTCGCCCATGAGCAAGAGCCCCTCGACGGTACCGACCTTGCGGACACTGGCCATGCCCAGGACGACGTTAAGTATAAGCCCTCTCATATGATCCCATATGGTCTTGTGCATATCTGCGAGATCGGGGCGGTCTTTTGAGGCCACGACAAGGATGGCAGTTAGTAGGAAAGATTCGTCTCTTATCGTGTCGAGGATGTATTCGGGCCGTAACACTTCTACTGGGACAATGGGGAAGAAATGGTGGTAGTTATCGGCGTAACTGATCTCTGTCAGTGAGACTTGATTCAAAGCGTGGAGATACTAGTTTAGGATTAGAAGCCAACTCACTACCGTAACAGCTGAACAAGCAGAATTGCATCAATTGTTCTCTCCTTGACTAAGGGGTAATCGTCGACAGTGACCTGGCTCGAAGCCCCTGGATCGGGGCGGAGGTGGCCAGGCCCGCGAGGTGTTTGTATTGAATAGGCCGAGGGCGTCGCTCCAGGTCCATTCGATAGCCCGTCCATCAACCCGTTTGGAGTGTGTTGATTCTCATCGGAAGCGTCATCGTCACCTTGCTCTCCAGCGGCATGACAGAGCATCATTAAAGCATCGCTAGGATTTTGCAACTTATCATGGACCGAATCTTCGCCGGCTTTGGTTTGTCTGGGTGAGACATGATCACTCGAAGAGACGGAGAGTGCCGTCTCAGGGCGTTTCCTTGCTTGTTGGCGGGGACGACGAAGATGAGAGAAATCACCACCTCGTCTAGAGCCAGCGAGAACGCATTCAGCGCCTTCTCGAAGACACTTTGCACAAGGAGGTTTTCCAGGTTCTCCAATAGTGCCTCTAAAGAAAAGAAGAAAGAGTTCAAGTCAGAGGAAGAAGCTCAGGGGGAGAAGGACAAGGGACCCACAAGTCACAGCGCGTCTTGCGCGAACGGCACCTGACGCAGGCCCGATACTGTCTGATGCCCTGTCCTTTAGTCATTTCAGAAGCAAAAAGGAAAAACAAATTCGTCTTTAGCCGTCAGAGGGTGAAATCGAGAATCCGGGGTTGGCTGGGGATGATGAAGCAGAGTGGAACTTGCCCCAGACTTTGGCGGTAATAGACGGATTTGGCCCCCGCAAAAACAGGGGGAGGCTGTAGACGGCTATAGACGGCCGTGGGATTATGACGACTTTGGGGGAGGGAATTGATGTCCATAATTCGATGGCTATAGCGAGTATGCGTAGATTGAAAGTCATTGGGTTGAATGATGTGAGTCGAGTGGATTTGATGGAGGCATCAAGCGGGGAATGTTTCTCTCCTGTCGCCCCCAAACATCATGGTAGAAGGATATAAGACCTCTGGTCAAGACGCTTGGATCAATCATCATCAATTTCTCAAGTCACAGATTCATCATTGACTCTTGTGTACAGAAATAGTCTATTCTGATATCTTTCGTTCAAGGCCAAACCTGCTTCGCACATCATCATGGCTCCCAGTCGTCTCGAGTCTCCCCCTGCGGACACCACCACACCTCCAGCCCAGAAGCTCAAGGTGTCACAAGGACCCTCGGAGGATCTCTATGGACACTATTACCCGACCGACCCAAACACCTTGAGTCTCGAGTCAAACTTTGGGCCTATGGAACCCGATACCATTGGATATCTCCAACCTACCACTCTCAACACTCCCTTGAAGGTTATGCACGAGCGATTTGAGAGAGACGGCTATCTTTTTGTGAGTTTTCTGCCTTTGCGTCAACTTGGCGACTAACTAACTAACTCCTACCGATAGATCAAAGGATGCATCAGCAAAGAAGCCTCCCTCGCCTGTCGCCGCGATTACTTTACACACATGGCCCCCAGCGGCCTCCTCAAGAACGGGACCGAACCAGTCGAGGGCATCTTCTCAGGCGCTGACACACGCAAATACCTCCCACCCGGCAACCTTCGTCGCCTCTTTGGTCTCAAGGATGACCCAGAGAGCGACAAATATGTCGAACTCATGATCTCTGCCCACGAGGCTGATTTCTACGTCGAGTTTTGCAAGAATCAGGAGCTGCGCGACTTTGTCAGCCGCTTCACGGGATGGAAGAATCCTCAGATGCTTCAGCGCACAATGCTACGTGCCTTTGTGCCTGAAAGCGAGCTTACACCTGTCCACTTTGACCAGATGTACCTCCGCGCCGGTCCCCCTACCAGCCTAACGGCCTGGATCCCAATCGGCAATGTCTCCCTCGAGGGAGGCGGCCTCATGTACCTCGAGGGCTCGACAGACATTGGCAAGAAGACCGAGGACGACTTTGCCAAGAATGCCCACAACTTGAGTGATGAGGAACGTATCAGCGCCTTCAACAAGAACATGAACGACGGCGGTTTCCTGAGCCGAGACACGGTGGCCTACGGCAAGGAAGCCCGTAGAAAGTGGCTCATCGCTGAGTATGAGGCCGGCGATGTCATCTTCCACAATCCCTACATGGTGCATGCGAGTTGCAAGAACAGGGACCCCGAGAACAAGATCCGTCTCGCCACCGATGTGAGATTTGTCGACCCCGAGAAGCCCTATGACAAGGTAAGTAATTTGACGCCAGATCTTGGATGCTTGCTAACTAATGGTTGTAGCGCTGGATGAAGGTCTACAGACCTCTGGACGGACTGTAAAGGATTTGGATTTTTGTTGTTGCAACGAGTAGGATAGCGATTTAAATATAAGAAACAGGTGCCACTTCCACTTAAGTTGCTCTTCAAAGCCCTGTAAACAGTGTTTGAATGGAAGTGACCTGATTTTGGCGATGCAATGGGCGATCTTTGGGACAGTGTGCTACGGAGGCTTTAGATCGACCCCATCTTGATGGAATATGAGCTTAGGAAGTGGGAGACATTCCTTTGGGCGTTTAGCTATTAAGGCGGCTGTGGGCAGCTCAAATATGACTTTTGAGATAGATTTTTAAGCATATTTATAGCTTGTATCTTCACAAATATACTATAGTTAGAGGAGACTTGATAAAGCTTTTAATCGATTTTACATACTCCATTAATCTTTTAGGATGATTATTGTTCAATGGCCATCTTAACTATAGGAGAAGATTTAATAATAATTGCCTCTACTATTGTAGGTAGATAATGACGAGGTTCGCGTGTCAGTCCCTTAGTTGATATATAAGTAGAAGAAGCACGACGAACAAAGGTGAGGTCGTCGTGTGCTCAAACACCAACAAGCCTTGAATCTCTATTAAGTCATATAATGCTTTGTAGTTCTGGTGATCTTGGCAAGTTCTGCATAGTTCATGATGCAATGTCATCCACCCACGACTATGATGTCCTTGCTCACTCGGAGACCGAGGCTATCTTGGCCTCCTTCTCGCCGAAACACTCGGCCAGTACTCATTCCTTAAGCTTGGCACTACATTAGTGATCGGACCCCCAATAGCCAAGATCCTCTATCCCCCAACTTGCACTTAGTGAGAAGCTTTGATGTGCAGGTTGAAGTCTCGTCTGTCTGGTTCCAGACGGCAATAGATCCCCTACCCACATGCTCCAATAACCCAGACCACATTTCTAACTGTCCAGACCATATTCCAACCTCATGATTAGTGGAAAAACACACGTTTACTCATTCTCTTCACCTCCGCAACCTGGGTGCCTTGATCATGTTTTCCCCGTCTACAGCCGAAGCCCCAGGCGGGCTGGCCCACAAGCCGACTAGGTTAGCCCCATTTCCCCGGACTTGATGAGATCCAATATGCGGAGAAGGGCGGGGGTCTCTAGCGAGGCATCTTGTCATGTCGCTGAGATGGCTCTAGCTAAGGTTTCTGCGGGGGTGGCTCGACCGACGAGGAGGCTCCGTCTATTACCGTCGCTAGTAGACACTCGGAGACTGACTCGCGATCAGTTCGTCGAGAAGTGGTATTAAACAACATGTATCTCTTCCAAAGATGCATCTCGATCAGCAGAAGCTTGTCTATCTCATCACTCATCTTCCATCGATATCATGTTTCTGCAGAAATTTGTTCGCAATGACGCCATCAAAACGGACCCTCCTGAGATTTACAACCTCAGGACGGTTGTGGTCAGTCTGATAGTGAGTTTGCCTAACGCTGTTCAGAGTATGTGATGTGTTGAGTGCTAACGATGATCTTAGGCATGCGGCGGTGCACTACTTTTTGGCGTGAGAATCTAATCTTAGAATGAGACGAGAGCGATACTGACATTGCCTCAAGATGGACATGGGTGTCATGGGCGGCGTCCTCGCCATGGACACATTCAAAGAGTAAGGGGCCACTATCCAGCATGACATCTCAACGCAAGCTAACAGTTGGAAAGACAGTACGGACTCATTGATAAACCAGCAACCGTTCTCGCCGACCTGTCATCAAATATCGTCTCGACTATCCAAGCTGGAGCCTTCCTCGGCTGTCTCATCTCAATGTGGCTGGCCAACTATATCGGCCGACGACTGTCACTCATGACGGCATCCTTACTGGTCTTTGTCGGCGTTGCTATGCAAGCTGCTGCTAGTGGTCATCTGGCAGTTATGTACGTCGGAAGGTAAGGAAAGTCAAGCTGTCGAATCCTGAACTGTGAGTTGACATGCGACAGATTCATCACTGGCATTGCCGTCGGTATCGCCTCTACCGTCAACCCTCTTTACGTCTCCGAAAACGCCCCACGAGGTATCCGAGGGCTCCTCACAGGTTGTTACCAGCTCTCCATAGTCACTGGGCTGACTGTAAGTTGTCACTGGCATGGGTGGGTGCTGTCTTTAGGGGTAAACTAACAGCTCGACAGCTCGCGTTCTGGATCAACTATGGCTGCGTCCTCCACGTCAAAGGGCACGCCAAATATATAATTCCACTTGCTCTTCAAGCCCTCCCTGCTGTCATTCTCTTCGTGGGAATGATGTTTGCCAACGAGTCGCCCCGGTTCCTCGCCCAGAGCAACCCTGTCAAGGCACTCACCGTCCTCGCCAAACTTCGAGGTCTGCCTGAAGATCATCCATACATACAAGAAGAGATGGAGAACATTTCTCTGCAGCTTGAAGAGGAGCGATCCTTGTCCGCCAACAGCTCTGGGCTCACCCTGGTCAAGGAGGCCTTCACCGTCAAGTCCTACCGTCGACGAACGTTCCTCTGCATCACTCTCATGATGTGGAGTAACCTTACGGGCACTAATGCCCTAACTTACTACTCAACAATTATATTCAAGAGTGTTGGCCTTTCTTCGTCTACTACTGGTCTCTTTGCCACAGGCATCTATGGTATTGTCAAGATGGTGTCTTGCGCCATCTTCATCTTCTTCGTCACTGACACCCTGGGCCGGAGAAAGAGCCTTCTGTGGACTGGAATTGTACAAGGCTTAGCCCTCTTTTATATTGGGTTTTATGTCCGCTTTGATACTCCTCAACCCGACTCTCCTGTTGGTGCTGCTGGCTATGTCGCGATTGTAGCCATCTACATCTTCGCCGCCGTGTACCAATTCGGGTGGGGTCCCGTCGTTTGGACATACTGCTCTGTAAGTTGACCATAAAAAGACGGAATCGCGGCTGCGGAGACTGACTTGATTATAGGAGATCCCTGCCGCGCGCATGCGTGCCCTTCAGATGGGCATGGCCACAGCTAGTCAGTGGCTCTTCAACTTTGTCGTCGCCAAGAGCACCCCAAGCATGTTTGCAACTCTTGGGCGAGGTGGATTCGGCACATACTTTGTGTACGGCTCGTTCTGTTTCGCTATGGTTGTCTTTGCCTGGTTCTTTGTGCCAGAGACCAAGGGTGAGTTATCCCCTACCTAATCTTTATCGGATATCTAGTTGATGACCCTATAGGACTTGCTTTGGAGGATATGGATGAACTGTTCTCGCAATCTAACGTCAGGGCTCCTTTTACTCCTAGCCGCGTTGCTCGGCTCGAGGCGGAGAGAGTTGCGAAGGGGGATACTGAGTCCAAGTTTGAACATGTTGACAAGGTCTAGTTAATTGGTAACGGTTTACATGCTGCGATGTCAAGGATTGCAACTAATGGGTTCAATCTTGTTGTCGCATTTTGATGGTTAGACCTCGATCGTAGCTACATGGATGTGGTGCTGCTCAAAACTGCATTTGAAACAACGCCAAAACATGAGTTCACCCGATCGAGTTTACCTAATCTAATACAAGTCTCATGAAACCCCAGCCTCCTCCTTATGATGAGTCTAGTCTAAGTTATGATGAATGGATGATAACCCTTGTCAAATCCGGGGAAATGGCCTATTCCTATCTCAGCATTATACTCTCGAGCCACGTGATGACCTCATTGGACGACCAACGCCTTCGCGTCTCGTCACTTCACAACAACATCCAAGCATCTTTCACTACTGCACTCATCCTGAACCTGTAATTGTCCCACTTACTTAACCCCTCAGCAGACGTAGCCTTCTCCGCCTTGCTGACGATCACATCTTAATAAGCCAAGCCACCTCGTACAGACAAAACCTCAACCCCTCCACCATGACCAAAGTCGGCGACATCCCCACGGGCGCATTGCTGAGAATGGACATCTCATCCACTCGCGAGCGGATGCCGCTTCGCATCGTCACCTTCAATGTCCGCTACGCGACGACCAACTTTGAGCCTCATGAGAAGCCTTGGGACGTCCGCTGCCCCAAGCTGGTCAACCAGCTATCCTTCATCACTGCTGGCCATGAGAGCCCGTTCATCTGCCTGCAGGAATGCCTGTATCCGCAGGTAAAGGATATCCAGTCGCGTCTTGGCGATGGCTGGTCGCACATTGGTCGCGGTCGCGGCTCTGGAGAGCATGACGGCGAGTTCTCACCCATTTTCTACCGCAGCGACAACTGGAGCTGCGAGCGCTCCGAGGTACGCTGGCTGAGCAAGACTCCTTTTGAACCTTCGCGCGGCTGGGATGCTGTGTTGAACCGCATCGTCACCATGGGTGAGTTCTTGCACCGAGGCACGGGGACGCGCGTCATTGTCATGAGCACCCATTTCGACCATATCGGCGTCAAGGCCCGAGAGAACAGCGCCAAGCTCCTCATCAAGTTCGCCCGCGAGTGGGGTTCCGGAGGTGTGGGCTCTCCGTCGGCCGTCCTTGTCGGGGGAGACTTTAACAGCTCTCCCAATGACGGCGGGTACAAGATCATGACAGCACCTGACTCGGGCATGTCTGATATCTCTCATCTACTGCCTAAGAGCGCTCACTACGGGAATCAGATCACTTACACGAGTTTCGGCAAGTACGATAGCTCTGGAGAAGGCTGGGAGGAGGCACGCATCGACTTTCTCTTCATTCAGGAGCCTCGGACAGCTCATGTCAAGACCTTTGGTGTCCTTGCCAATTTCTTTGATGATGATGTTCGTGTATCTGATCACCGGCCTGTTGTGTCAGACTTGGACATTTTGGTTTGATGAAGGATGGACGAGAGGCTTTCGGGCGGTATCTTTGAACATGGCTGGGTAGCCGATGCTCTCTACTCAAGCAAGGCCTCCGTCATTGGATAGCATGGATGGATAAGAGGATAGGAACCTAGGTACTACGCAGGGTGATGCATAATGGGGAGAATCAGCTAGCATGACCTGAGACTCGGCTCGCATGGCTGGTCTCTGCCCGAGGCACGCAATCTCCAACAAGTCTCCCATGCATTGATATTGGGAGTACGTGCGGGATAAG